GAACAATAATATTTAAAAGAAAGTGTAATTAAAAAGTAAATAAAAATTTTATATTTACATGTAGAATATTTATTTTGAAAATAAGTATGTAGAAATAAAAAATTTTAAATAACGATTATCGAACAAGGACTAAAATATTTGTGTAACGGTCTTTTTTTCTTAGCTATAAGCCTATAACTTTTGTAAAGGGGATTTTGAAAAAGCAATATTGAAAGTAAAAAAAAAAAGATTGAAAGACTTCCTATTTTCGAATGTCTTTATACAAATTTATAACATATCATTAGAACTCATTGTAATTTTAAAAGCTCATTTACGTCGTTTGAATTGAATATTTCAGGATTTACAAAGACTTTTCAATGTCTATAAAAAGTCTACACCAGTCTATGCCGCATTTGGTGGGAACGAGATCAAGATTTTTAGTAGATTTTAATAAAAATACGAAATGTATGATCGAAAAGTTATACGTCTCATAAAATATGTTACTTAAAATAATTTTTGACTTTAACCTAGATGAAAACCTAAATTCTCATCCCAACCGAGGAAGAACTATAATCAATACCCAAAAAATTCGAAAGAAATTTTAATTTTAAAGTTTACACTGACGTAACCTTGTACGTATAGCAAGCTTCCTCTAAAATAAGTTGAATTATGCTGCTTGTACAATTTTATTTAATAATCTTGGTTAACAACTCATACTTGGCGAAATCACATATGTCCATTTCGAAAACTTTTTTTAAAATTAATGGTTCGAATTTTGATAATACCAAGATTATTAACCATAATTGTCAACAACGATGTACAAATAGGTTAATTAAAGGATGACGAAAAAACTCGTTCAACTCGATTTCCCCAAGCCCTGTCCCGAAATGGGGCGGGGATTACCCGTCTAATCAGGTAAACGGGACATGGTTCACTGCCTCGAAGTGGGTATGGGAATCAGAATCCCCGTCTCGTTTAATGTTAATTTCAAAATTAAATTTTTTATCAAACAAAAATAAAAGATTTAGCCCCTGTTTGGACAGTGTTAGTCCAATAATGAAAATATTAAATTGTATCGTTGGAGCTCCAATTTCTTAGAAAATGTGAGATACAAGTCAACAAAAGGGGCCAAGTGGGGCCCTTCAGCGGTACAATTTTTTCTACAAATGGAGGAATAGTGCCATCCAAACATCATATTCTTATTTTTAAAGATGACGTAAGTTTTTTTAACAAATTTGGAAAAAAAAAAAGCAATAATATTTACTAAAGTTGACGTTGAAATTTGCATAGACAAATAGTCGAGGCAACTTAATGGAAAGTAAAGTTTTATTAATGCGAAATGGTCGCAATATTCATATATTACAACAACAGTCAATGTTGTTTTTCCTCCGACGTAGGAGATTTTTGAAATATAATTTAGAGATACAAAGAGATATTGTCGTGCATCAAAAGGAGTTGTCATCTCCCTTGGCTTCCATCCCTTATTTATAGAGGTTGTCTGGTGCCACTACTAATCAGAATTCCAACCGTTATGGCCACACAATTTGACTTCTTTGTGAGAGGGTGGGCCCCATTTTTTAAAAACTAACGGTCAAAAAAGCCCAATTTTGCTGATTTTAAGCTGAACCAGACAGGCTCATAGTAAGAAATGTGCATGCATCCGGCCTTCCATGTCTCGTCGCTGTAATTCCGAGCTGAAGAAGTACATTTGTTGTCCCAATTGGTTTGGCTAGCAAGCTCAGAATGTGAGGTCATCATGAGTTATAATTCTGCAAGTGGTCCCTAGTAATTAATGAATTACTTAGGGAAGAGAGCTTAATTACTTGATTGGTGGATTATGCGGGCGCTGACGTCAGAACTTTACATATGTACTTAGTTGATTGGATATCTATATATTTTGCCGGTGATCTTCAATCATCATGTTTCTTTCAATCTCGATAAACT